ATCCATTACATAGATAGAGGCTGATTAGTGTTCTGTTTAGGGTGGATGTCAGTGTTGGCAATATTCAGGTGGGATCCGGCTATGATATTCAGTAGGGGCAATGGGGCATACACTTCACGGGGCAACTAAGATATGAGTGTGATGGTACAGTTTTTAAAATATATGAATGTGAAGTGGAACAGCTAGATATCCTGAAGTTACATGGCAAACACATTACTCCCTGTAGTGCTATAAAGATCCAGACTTCTAAGCAGAGGCCTGACGTTGTGTGACTATCACTTCTATCACCAGTGTATAGAGGACATTTTAACTTGGGAAAGTCAATCGCTGAAGTTTATTCAAAAACGTTCTCATACACAGGAATGGAAATGGAATTCCAGGGGAATGTCACAGTCATTGTTTCACTTTTGGTTCCTATTAATAAACATCAGTGGTGGAAAAAGTACCCAATTGTCATACTTGAGTAAAAGTAAACATCCCTTAATAGAAAATGACTCAAGTAAAAGTGAGTCACCCAATAAAATACTACTTGAGTAAAAGTCTAAAAGGATTTGGTTTTAAATATACTTAAGTATCAAAAGTAAATGTAATTGCTCAAATATACTTAAGTATCAAAAGTAAAAGTACAAATCATTTCAAATTCCTTATATTAAGCAAACAGATGGCCCCATTTTCTTTTTTTTACGGAAGACCAGAGGGAACACTCCAGCACTCAGACATAATTTACAAACAAAGCATGTGTGTTTAGTGACTCCGCCAGATCAGAGGCAGTAGGGATTATTTTCTGTAGGAATGTAGTGAAGTAAAAGTAAAAGTAGTCAAAAATATAAATAGTAAAGTAAAGTACAGATACCCAATAAAACGACTTAAGTACTTTAAAGTATTTTTACTTAAATACTTTACACCACTGATAAACATGTAGAATTCACCTGTTGAAATGAGGCTTGAGGAACTATTAAGTTCTTCCGCGTCCATATTTGGGTTGATGCGTTTTGCGTCCTCCATTTGTTTTTTCTACAGAAGCGTGGCCACGCCCGCTTTTAAACAGATGAATTCCTTTGCTCCACCTTTTTCCGTGACTCGCTCCAGTCATCCCCCAAAAATCTAGCTAGCTAAGTAAACGAATGCATTGCCTATTTTGATCGCAGAATCAATTTGTTATCAATAGACAACGCATGGACACAGTTTTGTTTGTGTCGATGAACGTAAGAAAAATACCTTTCTAGGCTGATGTTTTCCAGGTAGCTGGCTTAATAGCCTCGAAGCACAGCACAGGGTTAGTTATCAGTACAGTAACTTAGCTAGCTATCTTTGCTCGAAGTGTGCGGTGCCTATTGTGTTAGCTAGCCAGCTAACGTTAACAGCTATCTGATTTGCTGTGTTTGAAATATTTTGATACTTCTTTTAGTTGTCTTCATTCTCATCACCGGTGGATATGGGACTACTTTTTACCAAGCTGATGACTGTCTTCGGAGACAGAGGTAATCATTTGTGTGCCTGGATACATATAGCTAATTTACTGGCATTATTGTTGCTCCTAAGTAATCTCCACTCAGTGCCTGATCATTTCTGCTTGATTGGTTTGCTAACGTTAGCTGCTTTGTAGCACAGTGTTGTTATGGACTTAAATTCGGAGACAACGCAAGAAAAGCTGTTAGACACAAGTTTTTTTGTTTCAACATTTGGTTGCATATTTTCAATAACGTTAGTGACAGCTTCAAAAATGGTCAATTTCGACAAAGCCTAACTCGTTGTGCTTCAATTAGCCTAACTAGCTAAGTTTCTAACTACACCGGGCACCTTCCAATAACTGGTTAATTTCTGTCAGACACGAGCTAGTCCGTACTGGATGTTCTGTTCACTGTCTCAACGTTCTGCACACGTGTCCTGTGTAATTATCTGTTTTCTATGTAGCGGTAGAGGTAGTGAATTGCAGTAATATTATGCAACCAATAACATTTTGTCAAACAGTACTGTTTACCTCGTTGATGAGATGATGGCAGGGTAGAGGTCGCTGGGTTTGACTATCAGGGTCAAATGGTCCTTGTTTTACCTAATAGTAGCACTGCAAACAAACACAGAGAGGTTTTGTCCCTCTGGATATTAAAGAACGTCTGCCCATGTTTTTCAGATCTGGTATTTTAATCCCTCACTAGAGTCTAAAGAGAGTCCATCAGTCAGATGTGTTGTCATAGTGATGAGTAATTAGCTTTGGGGTCACATATCTGTGAATGGCAATCCATGTGTTTGTTATGTAGAAGTGTGTAAACTACTTTTCTCTTTCCTTCTCTTATAGAACACAAAGTGATCATAGTGGGCCTGGACAATGCTGGGAAGACCACTATCCTCTACCAATTGTGAGTGATATCAAAATAGATTTCTATAATTCATGTTCAGATTTATGCAAATTATATTTATAATCACTTAGTCATATCAATCACTCTGTCCCTTCAGCCTTACCAAAGAGGCGGTCCACACCTCCCCCACCATTGGCAGTAACGTAGAGGAGATCTCTGTACGCAAGACCCGCTTCCTGGTGTGGGACATCGGAGGCCAGGAAAGCCTGAGAGCCAGCTGGAACTCCTACTACTGCAACACAGAGGTACGGATCTGTTGGTGTGTGTTCAGTAGAAAGTCTTTGTCGAGGTACAGCATGTGTGTTTTTGTTTACGTAAACAAAGTGTGCACGTGTGTGTGTGTTGGTTTCTGGCCAGTTACAGCTGGAGTAGAACTAGAACCCTGATGAAGGTGTTAATGCCTAAACACTTTTGGCTTGAACTTCTCTTTCCCTCCAAGACTCTCTGAATAGCTACAGCTGGAGACGAGATGTTTCAGCTTTCCAACGATCAGGCCAACACTGAGTTATTACACATTAACCAGCAGATGATTGTTGTTGTCATTGATAAAGCATGGGAACACTATTACATCATCTGTTACAGAACCAACCATATCAGTCTGCTGTCCTGAGTATCCCTCTTACACTCATGCTCTAGACTGTTACTGAAATCATATTCAACAGTTATGAGATGAGAGCACTCAGAGCCAGAGGTACAGTTAAGTGAGTAAGTTGGTCGCCTTTGGCCAGTGTATTCAGTTGGCTTGATTGTTTTGTCTCTCTTCAGATTGTGATTCTGGTTGTGGACAGCACAGACCGTGAGCGCCTAACTCTGAACAAAGATGAACTTCACCGCATGCTTGCACATGAGGTAACAACCACCTGTTTTTGGGGGGGGAGAGGGGGGGTCAGTTCAACCTCACTGTTTAGATTTTTTTTCTGAATACCAGTTTCAAATACAAGAATGCACCATATTCATTCTTAACTTCCCTTTTCCTGTATATGATGCACCAGAAATATTAGCCGATTGGTATTTCCTTATTGTATCAACAGGTGAATGAGTGAGGATTATTTTTAAGAATAAGGGCACTTTGTTTTCTAGGTTGTTCACATGTTCCATTGTCACTCACCGTATGTAGCTTTTTAGATGTGCAATATGCAGAAATCGGTCCGCCATTTCCTGTTTGCAAAAATTCTTATAGTTCACCTAATTTCAGTTTATGTGACAAAACAAGCAATGTATAGTGTGTATGAAATATATTTTTAATAACCAAAAATATTAAATGTTCAGCTGTTTGAAGCTGGTGTATAAAACCGCGTCTTAGACTTGCTTTCAATGAGAATGACAGATCTATAACTCACATTTCTATGTGAATTTGGTCAGGTCGCCCAAAAAGTTACATATTGCAGCTTTAACATGTTGACACGTGAGCTCTGTTCATGCTCTCAAAATGACTCATATCACCACTACAGAGCAAACAAACTGATTGCAAACCATGATGGGTTGTTTCACCATTTTCCCTGTGTGAATCAGTGCATTGACAGCTGAGCTGTTCAGTTTCTGTTCCGCTGACACTGCTCTTTTCTATTATCTGAGACGTCACAGCGGTGAGATTCTGTAGATTTCCACAGGAAGCTCTCAGATGTGTAAATATGTTGAATTTAAAAATGAGAACCGTGGCTATCTCTCTCCTCTGTAGCTCAGTTGGTAGAGCATGGCGCTTGTAACGCCAGGGTAGTGGGTTCGATCCCCGGGACCACCCATACGTAAAAATGTATGCACACATGACTGTAAGTCGCTTTGGATAAAAGCGTCTGCTAAATGGCATATTATTATTATTATTCTCTCCTGCCCTGTCTGACTGGTGTGTAGGACCTAAAGAATGCTGCGATTCTAGTTCTGGCCAACAAGCAGGACATGAAGGACTCTATGACGGTTGCAGAGATCTCCCAGTGCCTCACCCTCAGCTCCATCACAGCCCACTCCTGGCACGTACAGGCCTGCTGCGCCCTCACAGGGGAGGGGTGAGTACACTGCGTAACTACAGACACACCTGGGCCTCCTCTCTCTGTGTGTCTGTCTGTTATAACATTCCCATCATAAATAACCTTAAGTAACTCAAACACAATTTAATTTTCAAAACTATTTCCATCTCTTTCTCCTAACCTCCAGACTACCTGCCAGTCTGGACTGGATGAGGTCTCGTGTACTGGCCAGTTAGAACTCCTTCCGTTGGCTCATCCCAATTGGAACCAGGACAGCTATCCTTTGACCCAACAAACACAACCTCTCAGACGTCGCAGCCAAAGCCACAGTGCCCAGATTAGGACCTCCACTATCTGTAGTGACACTGCCCCTCTGAGCCCCAGGGCTGGCCCCAGACCTGCCCTGTCACCCTCATGCCTTACCCAGCCCTTAGTGTGTCTGCAAGGGCTTACCAGGGTCCAGGTCTGCCTCAGAATAGAGGAGGCCTGGAGGAACTTGGCAGAACCTCAACTAGGCATGCCAGGGTGTGCCAGTGTGCATTAGCATCTGTATGTGTTTTGTGTGTGTGAGACTCCGTTCTAGAGGTCCACCATGTTTACATAAGAATCCCTACCTGTCAGACCTGATTCCATGAGGGTGACACAGTATGTCCCACATAAGCTGAATAGTGACTTATCACAGTATTGAAGCTTCCTGGCCTCATGAACTCAACAGAGATGGAATGGGAGGTTGCATCTGATTTCTTTAACATACAGATTTGTACTTCTGACGTGAGGAAAACCACAGTACAACTGGTTAAAAGAGGCCAGACCTAATGCTGATCAGACTGGTGCTCAGCCTTCTAACCTATCAATGCACAAATTACTTGAAGTATTTATATCAAAGAAGAAAAAAGGGGGTTGCTTGACAGTGAAAAATAGTAGCATGCTTGCTGTTAAAAAAGTAAGATAACAAACAAGTATTGTCTGATTTAAAACAGGTTCATCATGTATTTTTTTATACATATACAGTCGCTATGTATTTTACAATGTACAAAATATTTTTTTTAAAATAAATGTTATTGATAAACTGGTGACTGGGCTGCCTTCTCTGCAGTAAGGGAATTACAGATGGAACAATTTTGGAATGTCTGACAATATTTTAATTTGGGAGAAATGTCAGTAGTTTATAGAATAAAACAAAACTGTTGTTTTTACCCAAACACATACTTATAAATAGTAAAACCAGAGAAACTGATCATTTTGCAGTGGTCTCTTACTTTTTTCCAGAGCTATATATATATATATATATATATATATATATACAGTACCAGTCAAAAGTTTGGACACACCTACTCATTCAAGGATTTTTCTTTATTTTTTACTATTTTCTACATTGTAGAATAATAGTGAAGACATCAAAACTATGAAATAACACATGGAATCATGTAGTAACCAAAAAAGTGTTCAAATCAAAATATATTTTATTTTTGAGATTCTTCAATTGGCCCCCTTTGCCTTGATGACAGCTTTGCACACTTGGCATTCTCTCAACCAGCTTCATGAGGTAAAAATATATATTTTTGTTTAACACTTTGTTGGTTACTACATTATTCCATATGTGTTATTTCATAGTTTTGATGTCTTCACTATTATTCTACATATACAATAAAGAAAAACCCTTGAATAAGTAGGTGTGTCCAAACCTTTGACTGGTACTGTATATACACTAGATCAGTGGTTCCCAACCTTTTTTTGGTTACTGTACCACCAACTGAATTTTGCTCTGCACAGAGTACCCCTGAATTTAATGGTTTAATGAGTCTTCTCAAGTACCCTCCATGGATAGGCCTAGTACCCCTGGTTGGGAACCACTGCACTAGATGACTGACAGGTGCGCTGTTTTGAAGCCACCTCGCCTCCATCTCCGCACTCCCCCACCATTGTAAAAAATCCACCTTGGCACTCCCCCACCATTGTAAAAATATATTTTGGAAGTTATAGAAATGCATTTATTAATGTCTACATTTGTTTTTGCCAGGTTTATACTATTACATACACCTTAATGCATACTTTACTATTATTGAGCTAAACATAAAAATGAAAAAATATATTAAAACATTTTCCTTTAAGGTGCACTATGCTCTGCCATTTCCAGTTTGCTTAAACAAGCAATGTATAGTGTAGAGAATCACTGTACCATCCAAACCATTGTGAAATATATTTTTTATAACCAAATATATTGTATTTTCAGCTGTTTGAAGCTGGTGTACAAAACCGAACGTAAAAGACTCAAAAACGAAACTTAAGAACAGGAAGCATAGAAATAGTGCAGATCTACGGCTTTTTAAACTTGCTTTCAATGAGAATGACAGATCTATAACTCACATTTCAATGTGAATTTTGTGGGGTTGCCGAGGTGCCTTATTGTTACCAACATAATTAGAGCAGTAAAAATAAATGTTTTGTTATACCAGTGGTCTGTTATAAACTGGGTAGTTCGAGCCCTGAATGCTCATTGGCTGACAGCCCGTATACCACGGGTATGACAAAACATGTATTTTTACTGCTCTAATTACATTGGTAACCAGTTTATAATAGCAATAAGGCACCTCGGGGGTTTGTGGTATATGGCCAATATACCACGGCTAAGGGCTGTATCAGGCGTGCAAAAGAATAGCCCTTAGCCATGGTAGCAGTGCGGTCGTGTATTCTGTCCTCGTGTAAATAGCCTGTTTTTTTCGTATATATTTCTCTAACTCACTTTCCATCCTTTAACTAAATATACTTTCCTGCAATCCGCCTCACCCAATGTGGAACGGATTCTATTATTTCTTTATTTTTATCAAGAACCTACGGCTGAAACTAGCCAGCTAGCCAGCTAACTAGCTACTTGCTATTAGCCACCGTTAGCGGTCTTCACCACTGTCCGTGGCCTGCACTACCTACCAGCCAGCTCTAGCCTGGACAATTATCGGCCAGTCTGCACAGCGTGCTATCGACCCAGATCATATCGGATTTTCTGTCGGAATCACTGAATCACTGGACCTTAACACCGGATCATCGCAACTAGCTAGCTGCAACCGAATGGCTGGTGTTGGCTAATCACCACTGTCCCGACGCACCAGTTAGCCTTGAGCTAGCCTCGAGCCAGGCCCATCTCCCGGCTATCTACCTCTCTGTCAACCGGACGGGACCTCCTAGTGTTGACACGCAGCCCCGCCGATCCATCACGACTGGTCTGCCGACGTAATCGTCTGATGTGGTTTCAACAGGCTTCCCATTGCGACGACCACAAAGATCCATCTGCTAGCCCCGGCCCGCTAGCACGCGCAATCAACAGCCGTGCCTCCAGCTCGCCTGTGCGGTAGGAGCCTACGAACTGCTCCCGGACTTACCTATTGCTGTTCACTGGACCTTATGATCACTCAGCTACACAGCTGATGCCTGCTGGACTGTTCCTTTACACGGTACCCTATCCTGTTTATCCGTTTAGCCTCAGCCCAAACTTTCGTCGCCATTACCAGTTGTTGTCTTAGCCCTCTCGAATAACACCTGTGATTGCGTTATGCCTCTCTCCAATGTCAATATGCCTAGCTTATTGCTGTTTGGGTTAGTTCTTATTGTATTATTTCACTGTAGAGCCGCTCAACCAGCCTCAGAGAGCTCTTTTGTCCCACCCCCATACACGCGGAGACCGGCTCAATCGGTACCTCCAGTGATGCTATCTCTTTCATCGTTACCCAATGCTTAGGTGTACCTCCACTGTACTCATATCCTTCTATATCCTTGTCTGTACATAATACCCTGAATCTATTCAACAACGCCCGGAAATATGCCCTTTTTATTCTCTGTACCCAACGCACTAGAAGACCAGTTCTTAAAGCCTTTAGCCATATCCTTATTCTATTCCTCCTCTGTTCCTCTGGTGATGTAGAGGTTAACCCAGGCCCTGTAGCCCCCAGTATCACTCCTACTCCCCAGGCGCTATCATTTGTTGACTTCTGTAACCGTAAAAGCCTTAGATTCTTGCATGTTAACATCAGAAGCCTCCTCCCTAAGTTTGAGTTATTCACTGCGTTAGCACACTCTGCCAACCCTGATGTTCTAGCAGTGTCTGAATCCTGGCTTAGGAAGGCCACCAAAAATTCAGAAATGTCTATCCCGAATTACAACATTTTCCGTCTAGATAGAACTGCGAAAGGGGGCGGAGTTGCAATCTACTGTAGAGATAGCCTGCAGAGCTATATCATACTATCCAGGTCTGTGCCCAAACAGTTTGAGCTTCTAATTCTATAAATCCACCTTTCCAGAAATAAGTCTCTCACTGTTGCCGCTTGCTATAGACCCCCCTCAGCCCCCAGTTGTGCCCTGGACACCATATGTGAATTGCTTGCCCCCCATCTATCCTCAGAGTTCGTACTGCTTGGTGACTTAAACTGGGATATGCTTAACACCCCGGCCATCCTACAATCTAAACTAGATGCCCTCAATCTCACACAAATTATCAAGGAACCTACCAGGTACAACCCTAAATCCATAAACATGGGCACCCTCATAGATATCATCCTGACTAATTTACCCTCTAAATACACCTCCGCTATCTTCAACCAGGATCTCAGCGATCACTGCCTCATTGCCTGCGTCCGTAATGGGTCTGCGGTCAAACGACCACTCCTCATCACTGTCAAACGCTCCCTAAAACACTTCAGCGAGCAGGCCTTTCTAATTCACCTGGCCCGGGTATCCTGGATGGATATTGACCTCATTCCATCAGTAGAGGATGCCTGGATGTTCTTCAAAAGTGCTTTCTTCTCCATCTTAAATAAGCATGCCCCATTCAAAAAATTCTGAACTAAGAACAGATATAGCCCTGGTTCACCCCAGACTTGACTGCCCTTGACCAGACTTGACTGCCCTTGACCAGCACAAAAACATCCTGTGGCGTACTGCATTAACATCGAACAGCCCCTGCGATATGCAACTTTTCAGGGATGTCAGGAACCAATATACACAATCAGTTAGAAAAGCAAAGGCTAGCTTTTTCAAACAGAAATGTGCATCATGTAGCACTAACTCCAAAACGTTTTGGGACACTGTAAAGTCCATGGAGAATAAGAGCACCTCCTCCCAGCTACCCACTGCACTGAGGCTAGGAAACACTGTCACCAACGATAAATCTACGATAATCGAGAATTTCAATAAGCATTTCGCTACGGCTGGCCATGCTTTCCACCTGGCCACCAGCTCTGCACCCTCCGCTGCAACTTGCCCACGCCCCCCCCCCCCCCCCATGGCCTATTTATTGCCTTACCTCCATAACTTACTACATTTGCACACACTGTATATAGATTTTATATTGTGTTATTGACTGTACATTTTGTTTATTCCATATGTAACTCTGTGTTGTTGTTGTTTTTATCGCACTGCTTTGCTTTATCTTGGCCAGGTCGCAGTTGTAAATGAGAACTTGTTCTCAACTGGTTTACCTGGTTAAATATAGGTGAAATAAAAAAACAAAATATACTGAGGTGCCTATATATATATATATATATATATATATATATATATAATATAATAAATAATAAATATATTGGCCATATACCACAAACCCCTAAGGTGCCTTATTGCTATTATAAACTGGTTACCAACGTAATTAGATTAGTAATTACGTCTGTGTTGCATCATGGCTAAGAACAGCCCTTAGCCATGGTATATTGGCTATATACCTTATTGCTTAATTATACACTGGGTGGTTCGAGCCCTGAATGCTGATTGGCTGACAAAACATGTATTTTTACTGCTCTAATTATGTTGGTAACCAGTTTATAATAGCAATAAGGCACCTTAGGGGTTTGTGGTATATGGCCAATATACCACGGCTAATGGCTGTGTCCAGGCACTCCGTGTTGCATAAGAACAGCCCTTAGCCGTGGTATATTGGCCATATACCACACTCCCTCATGCCTTATTGCTTAAATATACCACATCTGTCAGCCAATGAGCAATTATAAATTGGCTGGTTTGAGCCATGAATGCTCATTGGCTGACAGCC